TCTGACCAAACCCCCAAGCTCTTCCTGATCAACTTCAGAAAGTATTTTATGTACTTTTACTACCAAAATTGATCAAAATACAACAAAAAAAGTTTTTAAAAAATAGACAATAAAAAATGTCAAATCTGACTCTCAGCCAACAGCATGCACTGGAAGTCGGAGGCCTCGTCTGACATTCCCAAATTTACAAAATAATTGTTTTTTTAAAAAGGGAACATAACCCTGGCTGTACTAGGCAAAGTAACCGCGTCTGCCTGTTGCCGAAGCCTAAACTATTCATATCCACAACTGGCTTAAAAAAAAGAAAGTCGCTTGACAGTCAGACTCCAAAGCAAAAAAGAAAAAAAAAAAAGGACCTACACTCTCTCTGTCTCTGCTCACTACTAAAAAACTGCAAGTGATGACCACATGCCAAACATTTGGGGCGGGGGGTTGGTTACTTCATATCCTAACAGAGCAACCTTATATACACTCCACATCTCCAATATAATTCAAAACTCACTTTGATATGGCTCCGAGTGCTTCACCATTACCGGGTAATGAAAAACCAAGGACTCTTACTTGACCACTCCTCCATCTTTCCTTGACCCACAAGAACCATACCGTATTCCCCATGCACAACATTTCTAAAATATCCTTGATGACTTCATCAGGCTTAGTTTTCAAATACTTAACTCCATCTACCACTCCTTACTCCTTTCACCACCCATGTTCTTCTCAGTACCCCCCCCCCCCCCCCCCCCCCCCATCAGACATGACACTGAGCTGACAAGGAGGAAATGTTCCAGGGGTAACTTGGAACATTTGCACTTCAAGCAAGCTCAAGCTGAGAACTTCCATGTACTGGCCAAGCGAGCAACCAGCTGCTGCAGCCAGCAGATGCCTTTCTGTTTTGTGAACTATTACACAGGGACATCAAAATACATTTTGGAAATACATATACACTATGCGAACTGAAATTTTTTTTAAATCTGCATTGTTACAGAAGAAAATACTTCCTCTTACAAGTAGACAAAGAAGTTTGAATGAAAAAAATACAAGTTATAAGTATGGAGTGGACAACCTAAATAGGTGAAAGCTATCGGAATCAAATGCAACATGATGAAACTCTTATCTAACTGCTTACACTGGCAGATATTGTTTGTTTTTTTAAATTAACAAAGCAAAAAAATGAAAAAAAAACCCAGACACGGAACAAAATTTGCAGTGCACAAAGACAGGTGATGTTGTTTTGTTTGCTGTGATTTTTCCCCTGAACACAGGTAAATCTGTACAAGTGAAGTTAGTCAACCTCAAAAAAAAATTATTTTAAAAAAATCATAACCTGAACACTGAGGGGAAAAAAAAGAGTCACCCCTAACTGACGCAACCTCCTAACAACTTCATTGAGGTCAGTGACACGCTGTGCATCAAAGATATAGAAACATCATGTACGTGGCAGGAGCATTTAAGATAAAAAAGCGAATCATCGGCAAAGCTAAATTTTTCCAAGAGAGAAAAATTTTTCATTCATTTAAAAACTGTTACCAACTTTTCTTGCTTTTTTTTCAATATTTAGAACATGAATTTCGCCTAATATTTCTTGAGCATACACAATCAATACCACGGATCAGTTTAAGAAACTGCACGAGTAAAAAGAAAGTCTCAATTTTAGGCTGAGTACTTCTGATTCGCTGGCCGAGGAAACATAAGTGCAAGCAAGATACGGAAAACCCTTGTGGTTTGTACCAGAAACCAAACTACAGGAGTATAGCAGAAAAAATAAAATAAATAAAAAGCACAGATGTTTAGGAAAGGTGACCAGTAGTAGGATTATTAATAGAGCGCACAGAGGATTCCCCTGTACGATGGTCAGCTACAGAAAATACACACAACTGACACACAAACATGAACTGACATAATATGTGACCCAGCATGTTGAAATCAGGCGCTCTTCAAAATCATGAAATCAGGGAAACCCTCATTTTTCTGATATTGGGCAATTTTTTTTCGATTTTCTTTTTTGGCTCTCCACCTTTTATATCAATTTAAAAGCACCTTTATGAGTGGATTTCACTGAAAAATTTTGATCAAAAGCACGAACAAAAATGTAAAGTCAAGTTTTCAAGGACACTCAAGCTTGGAAGTCACCAAACTTTGGTGGTCATTTTCTCACTAATTTTACCTCTGACATCAGGTGACCCCCACCTCCTTAAATCGAAATTATCTCGACTTCTATTCAGAATACATGGGTATTTTTGTGCAAAATGCAAGACAAATGAACAGTCTTTAAGATGATACTAATAACTCCATACGCCCAAAAATTGGTGAGCTCCTGATTCCACCATATCGTGACACATATATGTGCCATGACAGGATGGAATCAGGCGTTCGTCAATTTTTGGGCATATGGAGATATTGGTATCATCTTAAGGCATGTTCATTTGTCTTACTTTAGATGAAAAAAATACCAATGTACCTGGAATAGTAGTCCAGATAAATACCATTGAAAAAGGTGGAGGTCACCTGGTGTCAGGTTAAGTTAGCCAGAAAATGGCCGCCAAAGTTTAGTGACTTATAAAGCTTGAGTCCTTGAAATCTACAAATCTACATTTAATGTTCTTTGTGCATTTAATCAACACTTTTCAGTAAAACCACACAGAAATGTGTTTTTCAATGGACATTAAAGGTACCGAGCCAAGAACAAAAAATCGATAAAAATGGCCAAACTGGCAAAAAAATGCAGGTTTCTTCGATTCCTATTATTTTGACGAGCACCTGATTTCACCATGATGCCTCACATATAGAGACATTCAGACACGTACTTTTACTTTCAAGAGAGTTATACCTCTACTTTCCTTTCAAAAAGAAGTACACGTTATGACTCTGGTATTCAATAAATAAAAAACACTCCGCAAAAAAAGCAGTAGAAGACTTCTTACCTTTCCCGGACTAAAATCAGCAAAATTGGCAAAAGGATCGGCTGCATTGTTGCCAGTGTTGGTCGTGGCCCCTGACCCTGCAAAAGGATCGTTGCCCCCGAAAGGATCCGAGCCAAAGCCTCCGAATGGATCAACTTTTGGTTTTGATGCTGGTGCCGGCGATGATGATGATGTGAAAGGCGTTGGGCTTTTTGATTTGGGAGGGGCGGGCCGAGGGGGTGGAGCTTTTTTCTGTTTGGCAGGTAGGCTGGGCTTGCTAGGGCTTCCAAAGGGATCTGCACCAGAACTTGAGGATATCTGCTGGATTGGGAGGAGACAGGAAGAACAAAATACACCACGTGAAACTTCGAATCAAAGAAGAGAAGCAAAATGGCTACATTGAAAAAAAAAACCCCCACAAGGGTGAGAATATGCATCACGACAAATTTACACCAAAACCCAGTGTATACACAGTGCAAGAAAACATCACTGGAAAAAAACAATGGCCTCTTTTCACAAAGTTGAGAAAGATCCTGGAAAGAAATTTTTTACCAGAAGGAACCAACTGTACAGGTAAAACAAACTATGTCATCTTCTTTAAATTACTTTACAAAATATTATAACACCATAAGGAAAGCACAAACGAGTAGAATGAAGCAATTATTCAAACAATTGTGGACAGGTGGGGAGATCATGTTCACACAAGTCACACAGTCGACTGATTGAGTACCTGGCCACTTAGAGGACACGAAACCAGACGTCACACACCAAGCAGCCATCAGCCAGCTTGCTGTTAAAGTTAAGTCATCTTTACGAACTCTATACTTAACTTACCGGTATTATTTTCAACATTTTGATTAAATGTATTTACAGATCTCGTGACACATGTAAAGGAGTATGCGCGCAGAAATGTTCATAAAATGGCTAACACTGTGTCAAAGTGACACGGGAAGAAGTTTATATATTTATCTATCCCTTCCGGGTAAAAATAAACCTAACTGGATTCGTATGAGACTGCATTCACAGTAATACTTCATGCACTTCGAGGTCTGACTGGACGCTGGGACCGCTCCTCCCGGGACTGGGCAAATTTCATGGTACTCCCATCGTCGAGTCCGGGTAATTGAGTTAAACTGGCAAAGTTATGGCTCATTTCTCCTACTTTTGGTTTTAGTAGAGGTTTTACGGCACTGTTTTTACTGCATAAGGCCATATGAGTGCCAAGGGGTGGACGTCAACAGAGAAGTCCATACAGGGAAACAGGCTTTCTCTGCTCACCTCCCTAGCTTGAACAGTACAAAGTCTTCTTCAACTATCAAGGCAGCCCGGAAATAGCGGGTTACAAGAGAGTAACAAACATAGAAAAGAAGTAGAGGAAAAATGACGACAGTAAGGATTAGGAAAGAAAAAGCAGCAGTTCTCTGATGCAGTTCAGACACAGTTATGAGCATGACATCGATGAATAAGCCCATTTACAATTCTACAGTGCATAAGAAAACGTTAATGTCCCCCCTTTGGGAAGGCATTTCTCCTAGAACTAACACAAACAGAAATGCTGAATAAAAGTAGATGGTGAAGACTACAACAGAGACCCTTGCAGTAATAAGTTCAGTCAAGTGTTTCAACCTGAAAACCTCACCCACTGCCCTAAAAAAAAACATAACGCCAAAAGGTATTTCCTCTCCCTTAATGGGGCTAGTAAGATTTGAAAAGGGTCCCAGTGGTTGACTGATTACAGAACACAGCACACAAAAGATGGTACGGACCTGATGCGTCAAGCAGAGATGAACAGTGAGGTTTTCTTTTTTGTCATTTAAAAAAAAATCAGTTTGGTGAGTGGCCCCTGCAGTGTGTCCTTAAGCCAAAAAGGTTGACCCAGGCACAGACGAGAGGAGGGAATATAAAATTCATGGTAGAGTATGAATGCAGCAGCAATATCCTGCCCCTGTGTCATGGCAAAACAAGCAAGAGTAGAGTAAGGCTTG